CCTTCTGAAGAAGGGTCTAGGCCCGAAACGTCAGCCTTCCTGCTCCTCTGATGCTGCTTGGCCTGCTGTGTTCATCCAGCTGTACACCTTGTTATCTATAGGAGGTACAGTGCTAGGGTTCTTCCCTTGGGCAATTTCCCATCCTTTTGCAGTTGGTGCAGAGTCATTTGTGCTGTTTCCCAGATTGAGTTATGTCCATGTATCAGTGTTCATTCATATTGGGATAATCAAAACGTTTTGTTATTTCATACAGTACAAATGTTACTATTGTTGCAAATATCAGTTTTGCTTTTTGCAAATGGATATTACTTCAAATCTAATAACCCCATTTATATTGCATTTTTGTCATAATTATACCTGAAGTATACTGTCCAGAAAACATAAATAGCAGTTTGGTTTTGTAATTTTATTTGAATTACTTTTGTTGTTGTACAAATTCTACTGTTTTTCATATGCTAAAATATTCCAGTTGGTAAAATAATTGAACTAAAAATGCTTCACGTCAAGGATATCCAACCTTTTACAGCTGTGTTCAGACATGAGACGCAAGTACATCACATGTGATCTACGTATAATTGAGAACTCCCTTCCCCACCCCAAAAACATGCAACCACAGGGGCTTGGAGTTTCTGCGAGGTTGCACTATTTTAAGGATTTCCCTGAGAATCTGTCGGATTTTTAAATTTGCTTCAAAACTGCTGTACACTAAAGTCATTAATACTTGGTTCTGAAGTTAAGTCTTCTCCCACTGTTTAAGTTTGGAATATTCACAGGTGATGTTCTAGACACCAGTTGGAAATAATTGTTATGGTAAGCCTCCTTTCAGCTGTGTAAATAAAACTATTCGATTAGTACTCGTATCAAGGCGACAAGAAACAGGAACAGGAACAGGAATAGGTCGTTCCGCTCCTCGAGACTGCTGCACCATTCAGTGAGGCTATTCCTGATCTGACATTCCTCACGTCCACTTTCTTATCCTCTCCCCGTAATCCTATTGAACAAGAATCTATTTGCCCCCATAGCTGTCTGTGGCAAGGAGTTCCAAAGGCACTCAACCCTCAGAAGAAATTCCTCTTTATCTCAATCTTAAACTTACACCCCGTTTTATTCTGAGACTATGTCTAAGTTCCTAGGCGTTCTCTTGTGGGGAAACATCCTCTTAGCATTTACCCTGCAAAGCCCCTTAAGAATCCTATATGTTTTAATGAGATCACTTCTCATTCTTCTAAATTCCAGTGAGTAGAGTCTCAACTTGTTTAACCTTTGCTCATAAGATAATCCCTCCATGTTGGGGAGCATTAATTCAGTAAACTTTGTGAACTGCCTCCAATGAAATAACACCTTTCCTGAAATAAGGGGACTAAAATTGCTCACAGTTCTCCAGATGTAGTTTTACCAGCACCTTGTACAATAGCAGCAAGACTTCACTATTCTTGTACTCCAAATCCTTTGAAATAAGGGCCAATATTACATTTGTCTTCCTGATTACCTGCTGCACCTGCGTGCTAGCTTTGTGTTTTGTGCACAAGTACCCGCAAGTCTCTTTGTGTTGCAGCTTTTCTCTATTTAAATAATTGCTTTTTTCCTCCCTTTGAAAATGTACAACTTCACATTTTCCCACATTATGTTCCATTTGCCAACTTTTTGCTCATTACTTTCTTAGACTGTTTGTATCCCCCCTCCTAACTTGCCTTTCCACCTATTTTTGTGTTGTCTGCAAATTTGGCTACGGTACTTTTCTTACTTCCTCCAAGCCATTAATGTATATTGTGATCCATATATAGTTATCCCAGCACTGATCCCTGTGGAAGCCTACTGCTCAGGTTGCTAACCTGGAAAAGAACCCCTTACTCCCACTCATTTCCTGATTATTAACCAATTTTCCATCCACATAAATATACACCTCCAACACAATGGGCTCTTATGACTTAATCTTTCATGAGGTACCTTGTCGAACACCACCTGGATGTCCAAATCCAACACATCAACTGTTTTTCCTATGTCTACTCTGATTGAGACTTGTTCAAATGATAAATTTCAGCAGGTCTGGCAGCATATGTGAAGGAAAAAAAAACAGAGTTAACGTTTCGGGCCCAGTGACCCTTCCTCAGAACTGATGGTGGCTGGAAAATGTCAGTTTATAAACTGACTTTTTCCCAGCCACCATCAGTTCTGAGGAAGGGTCACCAGACCTGAAGCGTTAACTCTTGTTTTTTTGCCTTCACAGATGCTGCCAGACCTGCTGAGCTTTTCCAGCAACTTATATTTTTGTTCCTGATTTACAGCATCCGCAGTTCTTTTCAGTTTTTATTTACTGTAATAAATTTGTCAGAATCAATTTCCCTTTTATGAAACCGTGTTAACTCTGCTTGCTTAGTTTCTGATTTTCCAAATGTTCTGTGATGACATCCTTGGTAATTGATCCCAACATTGTTCCAACAATAGATGTTAGGTGAATGGGCCTATAGTTACCTGCTTTTAGTCTATCTCCCTCTTTGAATAGGGGTATCACATCAGCTGTTTTCGAATCCTTCTCCAGGGTCCAAGGATTTTGGGAAAATTACAATTAATGCATCCACTATCTCTAGCTTTTATTTAGGAATTTTGGATGCAAGCTGTCACAGACAGAGGACTTACCTGCCATTAGCTCCATTAGTTTGTGTACTGTAGTAGTTTGTACTGCTTCTCTAGTGATTGTACCTAATCCCTTCTCTGTGTTCTTGAGTATTAGTGGGATGTTCAAAGTATTTTCCACTGTAAGAACTGATACAAAATATCTTGTTTGCTACAGTTCACCCCAGATTCATTTTCAAATGGGCCTATGCTCACTTTTGACTCCAGTCTTTCTTTTCATATATTTAAAGAAGCTTTTCTTGTCAATTTTTATATTCCTGGCTAATTTGCCCTCGTTTGTTTTCTCTCTCTTTTCATCTTTTTAGACCTCCTTGTGTGGATTCTGAATTTATCCCAATCTTTGGAGCTGTCATTGACTTTTATCTCCTTTTATGCTTTTTCTTTCTGCTTTATACTGTCCTTAACTTCATTGGTTAGCTATGGTTGGTTTATCCCTCTCTTAGAATCTGTCTTACTTACTGGGATATAATATTGCTGACAGTCATGTGTTACCTCCTTTAAGTGTCTTCCACTGCTTGCTGACTGTCCTTCCTGCTAATCTATCTGCTCAGTCCATTTTAGCTCGCACTCTATCCTCATTTTATTGTAGTTCCGTTCATTTAAGTTAAATTTAGTTGTTTCTCAAACTCACACTGAATAATAAATTCATCATGCTATGATCACTGTTTCCTAGGGGATCCTTTGCTTGGAGGTTGTTTATTAAACCTGCCTTATCACCTGTTACTGGATCCAGGATAGCCTGCTCTCTGGTTGGCTCTATGGCACATTGCTCTAGAAGCCATCCCTAATTGTACTGTACAAATTTGTTGTAGCTACCCTTTCCAACTGGATTGACCCAATAAACACAAACATTAAAATCTCATGTTGTGGTTGTTGGTGAGGCCTCTTTTGGAATACCATGTACAATTCTGGTCACCCTGCTATAGGAAGGATATTATTAAATTGGCGAGAGTTCAGAAAAGATTTACTAAAGGGATTGAGTTATAGGGAGAGACTGGATAGACTTGGAACTTTTTCCACTGGAGTGTAGGAAGTTGAGAGCTGACCTTTATAGATGTTTATAACATCATGAGGCGCATAGATATGATGAATAGCAAAGGTCTTTCCCCTAGGATGGGGAGTTCAAAACTAGTGGCCATAATTTTAAGGTTGGAAGAGAAAGATTTAAAAGGGATCTGAGGGTCAACTTTTTCAGAGGTTGGTCCATGTGTGGAATGAACTGCCAGAGGACATGGTAAATGCAGGTACAGTTACAACAATTACAAGACATTTGGACAGTTTCATGAATCGGAAATGTTTAGAGGGATATGGGCCAAACACAGGCGAATGGGACTAGTTTAGTTTGGGAAAGTTGGTCAGCATGGGCAAGTTGGACCGCGGGTCTGTTACCGTGCTGTATGACTCTGACTATGACGCCCGTAATTATTGCTT